TCCCGGGCCCGGGCACGCATGGGGATGCAGCAGTGGGATCTGGATCCGCTGCCTGGCTGGTCCTGCCCCCTCGCTTGCCCTGCAGTCCCGGGGGTCACAGCTGCTCTTCCAGAAGGGAATTTTCTAGCCCTCTGAATGTGCCCTAGTCCCCTAGAAGCCCGCGGGCTCCAGGAGCAAAGTCTATTCCCTCTATCTGATCTCAGCCATTTCCCTTCCCCCAGCACAGGATCGAGCTGCTGCCAGCAGCACCGGGAGCAGGACGTACCTTCTGCTGCTTCCCCACGGCATTCGGGATTCTGCAAGAGAGGAGACAGCAAGGCAGGTGCTGGAACCAGCCCAGCAACCACCAGAGCCAGGCCAGGCCGAGGACACCGTGGGCACCAGCCCTTGGGAAGGGATAGCCGGCTGGCACTGCCCCATGGCTCAGAAGTGACGGGCTCGAGCCAGGATACCTGCGGCTGGGCTAGGCCTGCATCCAGCCAAGGGGGGAAGCCCAAGCTCGGGGCTGAGCCTGCTCCACGCCGCCTCGGGGCTGCAGGGCTGCTGGGGGAGGAACAGCAGTGCCAGAAGGCAGCACCGGGCCCTGGACCCGGCTCCGCTTGGATGCCCCAACGCCACCCACAAGCCCTACCTGCTCAGGGTGAGGCAGAGCCTGTCCCCACAGGCACGGATCCTGTTCTGGGCCTCGATGTGCGTCATGGGGCTGGTGAGCTCCCCGTCGATGCTCAGCACCCAGTCGCCCACTCCTACGCCAGCCTGGGCCGCCTTCCCGCCTGGAGTCAGCTGCAAGACACAGGAGTCAGGGAGAGCCAGGGTAGCCAGACACGGGACGCGGGAGCAGGGGACGTTGTCACCCCCATGAGAGCAGGGGTCTGCAGCGGCTCAGCGAGGCTCAGCCAGGCAATGCACCCCACAGTGCTGCTGGGAACTGGAGCTGCCTGCAGCGCCACAGCAAAGCTGGGACCAACAAGCTCCCCAGCCCACAGAAATCCTCTGTCCTGCCCTTTTCTGTCATCAAGAGCCACACGGGCAGCACAGATCTGGGACAGCCTGCAGCTCCTGGCCTGGCATGGAGCACCCAGACGCAGGGCAGGCACCTCTTCCCGGTGCCCAGCAGGGCCTCTCCCTGCCAAGCACACAGGCAGGGTCCGAGGGCGGCACCACGGACCACCTCCATCACCCCCCATATCCCATTCCATGACTTAGAGCAGTCCCTTCCTCTGTGCAGCAGCAGGAGCCTGAGCGCTTCCCAGGGCACTGCCCTGGCGCAGGGACGGCTGGTGCCACCCCAGGAGGGCCCTGGCCCCCAGGATGGCCTGCACCTTCCTGGCCATGCCAAAGGGGAGGCTGCGCTGGCTCAGCCTCGGCGGGAGGCCCGGCCGCCCC